AAACTTTTCCCAGAAGGATACTGTTAAAATCCTGCAGCCGGCCCCCTTATCTTATTTGAAAACCTATGCTTAGGTTTAAAAATAATATCAGGAAGTATTACTTTACTGAGAAGGTAGTGGATGCATGGAATAGCCATCCAGCTGAAGTGGTAGAGGTTAACACAGTAAAGGAGTTTAAGCATGCATTGGATAGGCATAAGGCTATCCTAACTATAAGATAAGGCCAGGGACTAATGAAAGTATTTAGAAAATTGGGCAGACTAGATGGGCCGAATGGTTCTTATCTGCCGTCACATTCTATGTTTCTATGCGTAATTGAAACTCTACAAAGGGGTCTTATCACTATTATATAAGCCCCGGTATGTGCCTCTTGTGAAACAATGGGAGGCAGAAAAGCAGCAGATAGTGAAGGGTAGCAATTGGGGATAATTTGAAGGCAGCTTTAAATTCCTCCATATGCGTGACTATCCAAGAGCACTCTTGTAAAATACTATTTAGGTAGTATACCACCCCTGTAAACTGTGTCACATGGTGTTACGGCACTCCCGGCATAAAGGGGTTAAACTGCCGTTTAGTAGAGTTTCCCTTTTTGTGGGGGTACAGGTACAGCTACTGTAGAACCCCAACTCCCGAAGTGGAACCAGGGAATGCTCCAAACTCCCGAACGGTAATCCCACGAATAGCTGCTAACAGATGAACACACAAAGCATCCAAGCAGCTTACATTCCCAGCAATCAGTCTCTAACCGCATACAGTAAATCCCCTCAATCACGAGATCAAGTTCCGTATTGAGGGTAAAACAGGATTCTGGTTTATTGAGGGTTACCTGCCCGGTATTTATGCAGGTCTCCCACCTGGTGGACACTTCCTTAGGGGACCAGATGGAAGACTGTAACACAGACAGACATGTATCACATTCCGACACACAGAAGTAAAACATCCCCACAATGCATCCTAATTTCCCTCCCTCTATCCTGGAGATAATTAGGAAGTAATCCAATTATATCCTAGGACACGTGGGGACACAGAGACAGTAAAATTCATTAAAACATTTACTACACCAACCCCATACATGTCACATATCCCCAGATAGCTTAGATCTGAGCGCACATAACCACCGAATAGCACTCAGATCACACACATACAGTTCAATTGCCATGGAGCCAAAGTCTTTAATCACACGAATAGGCTCCATGGCATAGCTATCTGGGTTAAAACATTCCCTTAAGTAAAGTCCAGATCAATCCAGCGTTCGTTTAAACAACCGAAATAGAAGCAGGGAAGGCTGGAGGCTCAGCGGTGCCTGCACGTAAAAGTATCTGCTTTTAGTGCACTGATTCTGGGCTGAGCACTGCTGGCTGTCCGGGGAGCTCCATAACACCGCCACCGGGTGGCGGCTATGTGTAACCACGACCACCCAGTACAGTTAATTAAGCTGCGGTTAACCGCAGCTACTGGGTGGTCAATTGACGGCACACGCTAGCTTCCTGGTGGTCGCGCCTTCGTGCGGCTTTCAGTAGTTTAACAGTGGAACACATAGGGACTGTACAGGCAGGGGAAAAAAAACGAACAAACAGACGAATGGAGGGAAAATAATTGTGATCCATATACAGACAGTTCTGTTACACATGGGAAAGGACAAACTCAAAGCTCATGTTCATGACACAATGACAGTGTTTACCAAAGTATTGCAACCTTGGGAGAAATTTGGGTGAATAAATGATTCGGGTATGGTTATAAGACTATTGAGGTTGCCAGTATTGTACCAACACCCGTGGAGGGGAACATACCCTACCCCGTCCCTATATCCTTTCTTATTTTTACTTTTATTTTACCTTTATTTTTCCTTTATTATTGTTCTTTATCTGTGATAGGAATGGTTATTATGTTTACATTCAGAGGAAGGAAGATGAAGACACATTGAATATACACAGCAGATTTGTCGTTATTCTTAAGTCTTTTAACCCCTTAAGACCGCAGGGTGTTCTATGCCGTCTTTATTTAGATGGCTCTAAACGCCACAGGGCGGCATAGAACGCCCTGCGATCTTTTGTACTTACCCCACGCCGGCGATCACGGTATGGGGACTTACCTGGCAGCCCAGGAAATCCCCCTCCGTTCTCTTTGGCCCCCCTGGGCCATGTGATCGCGAGGTCCTTGCAAGGTACTCCCTCTGCTGTCCGAAAATAAAATGAAAATATGTTAAATCAGTGTAGAATTAAATAATATATACTTAGATCATATATATATTTACACATACACATAAATACACATACACTGTCTACATGTATTTTAATATTAATATATACATAATTATATATATATATATATTAATATCAAAATACACGTACAATGATATTGATTAAATATATATATAATTTTCATTATATATATTTATATATAATAAAAAATAAATAAATATATAAATACGTAAAAAAAATATAGATAAAAAATATATATACATGCGTAATTTCGTTCTAACTGTATTTTCAAATTAATATATATAGATATCAAAATACATGTAGAACGAAATAATATATATCTATATACATACGTATATACGTATATATCACTATATATATACCTATATATAAATAAAACTAATAAAAAAAGATATACATATATATACACATACATATATATATATATATTTGTGGTCGTGGCAATATAGCCGTATATGGAAACATAGCATATAATAACATATCAATTAGTTGGAATTAGTCGGTTGTGGTGTGCCAAAACCGACAGAGGAGTAGGCCTGTAAAAGTGGGCCCACCTTAGAGGGTGTTTGTAATAGAGGGAGTGTTGGGTGGGGTGACTCGCCAGACCATTACGGTAATGTGGGAGTGGATTGGCAGCCCTTTTATAGGGAAACCAAACACCTCCCACAACTACAGGCCAAGCCTTTTAATTTGTGGTCGTGGCAATATAGCCGTATATGGAAACATAGCATATAATAACATATCAATTAGTTGGAATTAGTCGGTTGTGGTGTGCCGAAACCGACAGAGGAGTAGGCCTGTAAAAGTGGGCAACAATAAATTACCATAAGACATAATACGTTGACCAAAATCTTTATTTAGATAAGTCACAGAAAGCTAGTCTTAATTCTTTAACAGGATTGGGTATGTAGAGAGTATAAGCGGAAGATTTCCAGCGTCCCATTGTTTTGATGATGTGCGGAGGAATGTGGTTAGCAGAAGCTGTAGATGCTGCTCCGATTCGAAAAGAATGACCCGAAAATTGACTAGGGTTCAAGCCGAGTCTAGTCAACAGCAGTCTTACATAGAGCATAAACTTTGCTGTAGTTAGAACGTTACCGTGCAGTTCTAGCAAAGGTTGTAATGGTTGTTTGTGG